TTTTAGTTTTTACATTTGAATCCAAGAGGCGACCCAGAATACTGGACAAACAACACTAAACGCTAGTACTTTAAAGACCAGAAGAAAAATTGCATTATCTTGTTGTTCTCATCACTTGAACAGAAGTTGATGGGATGAAATCATAAATACATACCAGAATAATTTCACAAAAAACGAAATAGACCATTAGCAAGGCAACATCTCTAACTAGACAAAACTTAATAAATATATGTATAGACTCATAAGCACTGTGTTGAACACAGAAAAAGCATTTGGAAATGTAGGGGCAGTCTAATTGAGCTGTGTAAACACAAGTTGTTACAAAATCAATGAAAATTATGAGAACCATTGGCAAGAAATAAAAGGACCCTGAGGTCTAAAGACCTACTACCTTAGAAAAAGGCACGCCCCAATTTTAAGTGTGCCAAAGCCCTTTAGAAAAATGTTATTAGCAGACTATCTTATATAAGAAAATTATAAATATGGGTATTCCAGAAATAAAAGGTGATGTGAAAAATATGTGGGTACTTTTCTACTTTCACAGCCAGAATTAAAACATGAGAAAGAAAACCCCAGAGATTACAGACACAATATCAAGGTGGGAAATGTAATTGGCAACTTCAAGTTAGCAGTGGATAAACAATTCCTGAACTAAAAAGCTCAAAGAATAGGTGGAGGAGGGAAAAGTAATTCAAATATGTAGGTTGAAGTCTCAGAACCACAGAGACTAACAAGCAGCTGAGAGCATAGAACACGTGCCTAATGGGCAGGTTTTATTGCTGTGGTTGACCTATTAATTCAGTTAAACAAACACTACAGAGTTCCTACTGTGCGTCAGGTAACTTTTTAGGTGCCGCGGCAGGTAAAGGCATGAGTCAGGCAGCCTTGGACTCCAGAGGTTCAGAGTCTACTAGAGGACAAAGGCGCATATACAAGCAAATCTAATAAAAGGCACATTGTGGTGAGAATTATACGTGCTGCCTAACGAGGTGATGAAGTAGTAAGGAAGAATTGTCACTAGAATATAGTGCCAAGTTCTGGATAACTCTAGAGTTAGACAGAAAGAATCTGCAGTCTGGTGCCAACTCTGCTCTGAGCAGACTGTGCATCTCTGACCAAATAATTTACACTCTCTAGACTGCAGTTCTCACATTTACACCAGATAAGGTTGGACTGTGTTATTTCTTTTAGCTCTAACTTTCTGGCTTTGTGGTTGACCGTCTTGGGGGTCAACTTTTAAGCAATGAATTAAAAGACTTTAGGAGCATGAAACTGGGAGACAAATATGTACTAAAAGCAAAGATCAGCATGAGTGAAGGTGTCAGGAGCATGAGCTGATATCACCAATTCACTCTGTAAATAAAACCTGTGCTACTTACTATCTGGGAGTTTCATAAAGGATACAGAAAATCCTAAATGAACAAAATAGAAAAGAAAAATGGATATAAACTTTTAAAATGTATACAAATTTAAACAAAATATAACGAGAATTATAAAAATGTTTAGGGTAACATATACCGATAACATTTAAATTAACTATAAAGAAAAGCAAATCTTACACTTCCAACAAATATGTGGATATATATTTGTATCATACAGCAGATGAAGTGATGCAGCTTCTATTTAAAAAAGTCTTTTTTAAAAAGAAGAGCCTTTCGCCATATTTGTCTTTAAACTGTATATATTAAAGGGAAATTTTTTCTTTCACGTCTTCAGAAAAGGTAAAGATTATATTAGAGAGAGAGAGAGAAAGACACAGACAGAGAGAGAGAGAGAGACTGAGAAAGAAAGAGAGAGGCAGAGAGAGAGAGAGAGAGAGAGAGAGAGAGAGAGAGAGAGAGAGAGAGAGGAGACTGGCATAATTGCAAGAGAGAACCAAAACTTTATAAAACAAAAGACTGAGCCATATTCCAAGCTGCTTATTGCAAGAGAAGAATTACTGAGTAGTGCACTAACCCAGGCAGCCATCCGCCATCCCTCCAAATATATATACATACATAAGAACACACAGACATACATTTGACCATATGCAACCATTCCTACTAAAAACACAGTAGCATAATAAGAGCTACGAGGAACATAAGGACGAATGAGAAACCATGTCTTGTTGCTTCAGTGGAGAAGCAAAGCTTACATTCTCATAAGGGAATTAGAGAAGTATCACTGTAATATGGGTCTGCGTGCCACTTATGTCGTGAAGGGAAGGGTACCCAGCACCACATGCTGGGTATCGGTAACTGCCTCAGTTCAGAAACTTACTAGCCACAGAATTATAGAGAATGTTACCTCCTTCCTCTAAGCTTCCATTTCTTTATGAGAAAAAAAATTCATATGATTATATGACATACAATAATCATGAAAAAGCATAGTGCCTGGCATACATTACATGTTCAATATATGACAGAATATGAACAGAAACAACAATAAAACTAGTAGAAATGTGATAGTCATAGAATGAGATGTACATGGAAACCTAGAGAAGGAAGTGATCATTTCTGATCTAGGCCACAAGAGTTGCAGAGTTTGAAAACAAATCAGAGTTTATTCCAGGGTTCCCAGAGAATAAGGCAGCGGATGAACTATATAGAGTATAGGTAGGGCCTGTCACAGCAGGGACAGTCATCCATGGGACCATCTCAATTGTAGCCCATAGCATTTAAAATGGAGGAGTCTAAAGGGAGATCATCATATGCGTCTCTTCTCCCTATCTCATATGTGCCATTTATTTGTCAGCTTAACATAGGACTCGCCCTCAGGCATGCATCTACTGTCATACCTACAAAGCATCCTCATACTTTTGCCTACTACCTATAACTAAGTCTTTATTCTCTTCATATTAGAGGGAAGTCCACTTTAGCTCTCCCCAAAAATCAGAAGACAAAGTAACAAATGCCTCTAATAAGCTGACATATGGAAACATTTAAAACATAAATGAGTAAGCCAATACATGGCTCCACCTGTCCCTATGAGGAAGGAATCTCTTCCAGATCCCATTCCCAAGCCCTCCAACCACTAAAGAATGATGAGCCAGACGGGCTCAGTGGCTCAGCCTGCAATCCCACGCCTTTGGGAGGCTGAGGTGAGTGGATTGCCTGAGCCCGTGGGTTCGAGACCCGCCTGGGCGGCGAGACCTCATCTCTACAATAAATCAAAAAATCAGCCGGGGGTGGTAGCGCACGCCTGTAGTTCCGGCTACTTGGAAGGCTGAGGTGGAAGGATCGCCGGAGCCCAGCAGGTCGAGGCTGCAGTGGCCGGGAGCAGCCACTGCACTCCAGTCTGGGTGACAGAGTGAGACTCCAACTCAAAAAAAAAAAAAGATAAAAAATAAAATGAATGATGAGCCAAAGAAAATCAGCTCCACTAAGCTTTTGACTAATTGCAAAGATGCAGTCTCCTTCAAGGGCAACAAAACTTCATGCACGGCTATGGAGACTAGTACAGCACCAAGGTCTTCATTTATTGTTTTTACAGAGCAGCTTTCTGATGGTCATGCCATTGCCCTTTCTAGGAAAAGAAGACCCAAAGATCCACAACCACTGCTTAGGCGTGCATGCTTATGCCTGACCCCCTAACACGTGACCCAAGCATTCAGTCTCTAGTTACCTTACACAAGCCACACACCTGGTCTAGGCTTCCTGACATCAATCCCAAAATACTAATAGACTAGTAAAGTGTTTATTGGGAGCAGGAAAAAATTAGGAAGAAAAGAGAAGGACTGAACTCAATCATAGGGTATGAAACAATCTCATGCAGTATTGATAAAACAAATTTACGGATGGCATCCAGAAATAATTGGAAACATCACACACACAGTAAGATAATTTTTTTAAAGGTGACACAGGCAGAAAACAGAAAGAAGGGCTAAATCTTCTTTCATTCCTTCGTCTTTCTCAGTTCCCAGAAGTCCAATGTTCCTCTATTTGGTAGTTGCAAGTTATTGTTTCATGGGTGTGAATGAGCTGCTGACATTGATAAAAATATGAAACCTCTTCAACCAGGGTATGGTGCCATTTACACAGTCCATGAGCTATAATGTGTGAGTGTGTATGTATACATACACATGAGATGCTGACTTCATGTAGACCTTCTTTTTTTTTTTTTGAGTTGGAGTCTCACTCTGTCGCCCAGACTGGAGTGCAGTGGCCACTCCCAGCCACTGAAGCCTCGACCTGCTGGGCTCCGGCGATCCTTCTGCCTCAGCCTTTTGAGTAGCCGGAATTACAGGCACACACTACCACACCTGGCTGATTTTTTTTTTATTTATTGTAGAGATGAGGTCTCGCCAAGTTGCCCAGGCGGGACTCCAACCTGCGGGTTCAGGCAATCCACTCACCTCAGCCTCCCAAAGTGCGGGATTATAGGCTGAGTCACCGAGTCCGGTCATGCAGACTTTCAAACTCCACTTGAAGACTGAATGTAGTTATTAAAACCCGTGAAACTAGACTTCACTCAGATTTGTGTGTGAGCTTCAACAAAGGCAGATCTTAACAGAGCTCTCCAGACAACTTTATTTTACAGTAGCCTAAGGGAGAAAAAAATGCCAGAGAAGGCAAAACATTCCAGGTACTTTATTAGGTTCACTTTGTATAGGTTTCTGATTGGACTTTGCAGCGTTTTGGGACACTTGTTCAATGGCAAGAGGGAGAGACCATTGAATGGTAGATACATCCTAACAAGAGAAGGGGCTGGAGTAGAATAATGCAGTAGAACACTGAGCAATGATTGAAGATTATAGATTTCTAGTTTGGGCTCTAACGCTATTTTATTATGTAACCCACAGTCATAAAACCTATTTAAAAATCTTGTTTGTAAAAGAAGAATTAGTCTTCTTTTTGGTGATTCCTAGGGACTCCTTATCCTTTAATAGTCCATAAACTACAATAACCACACTATGTATTCACTAAACTCCGTCTTTCTGACACAACATTATACTAGAAATCACCTCTGAAACATCGAACTTTCCTACTCTAGGCACCCAACTCTGAAATCCCAGCACTTACCTTCACCTCCAGGTTGCTTGTATGGGTTGTACTTGGGTTTTGGAGCAACCACTGGTGCAAACTTTTTGGGTGGCTGCTGTGTAGACACTGAAATGCTGGGCGTCCCAAAGGAATGGGTGGTTTCCATCCGTGCAGGCACATGGCCAAGGGGCTCACCAGTGCTTTTGGGTGGCAGCCAAGATGGGTGAGACATTGTTGGATTCTGCAAATAGAAATAAACCCTCTGTTTGATGGAAGCAATACACTTCACTTCATTGTTAGTTCATCTTACTTCTACTTAAAGAATCTTACAAAGCACTCTGAAAAGAAGGATGAAGGAAGAAAGAAGATGAAAGAAAATGGAAGAAGGAAAAAAGAAGAGGCAGAGGAAATGATCAGTAGGAAGAAAGAGAGGAAAAGGAGGAGAAGAAAGAGGAGAAGGAGGAGGAGGAGGAGGAAGAGGAGAGCACTCCCGCAAACTTGAAGGCCTCCCATCCAATGCTGCCTATTTAAGTGCCTAGCACTCTCACAAAAATAGACCTGAATAAAACATAGTTTCTGACTTGAAGGGGTTTCTATGGTAGAAAACTGGGGGAAAGTTTTGGTTTTATTAATTATCTATTAAAATAATTACCACACCAATTAAATGCTTCTACCTATATGAGGTGATACATTACATAAGGGAGTTTTGTCTTTTTTGTTAAGTGTTGCTGGAGTGCAGAGAAAGATAAGTTCATTTCTTTGAGGGAGCAGAACTAACAAGACTTTATTGATGAGTCACATGGACTGGGTCTTGAGTGCTGAGTAGAGATTGAACCCAAATGTTAGCAAAGTTGTATAGGCAGAAAAGTACACAACACTTAGGTTTAGTGTGACGGGAGGGGGAATAGCAGAAAGTAGCTAGCAAAAGAACTGAAACGTGGGATGGAACCAAAGCACAGACAGCTTTGCATGCATACTTGAGTTTAAATTTATTCCACAGACACTAAAGAACTATCAAAAGTTTATTTTGGAAACAGGGGCATAACAGATACATGGCAGGACACTTTTAAATGACCCATCTGCAGGAGCAGCTCTTCTCCCCACCAAGAGGCACCTGGAAATGAGGAAGAGTTGTGTATTGGTGGCCACAATGCCTGGGACAATTACTGGCATTTAGGGCCTGAGCACAGAATATTCAACACCAGTAATGCCAAAGTCAGCCCTGCGCCATAAAGAAATGCCCATACAGGGCTACACTGAGCTGATACCATCTTGGACCTTTATGAAAAAATTATTTTTAGTAGGAGGTGGACAACCAGCCTAGCCCAGATGCTCTTCTGATCAGATTGCATACACCATTTGAAGAAAGGAAAATGATGTTTCCTCTGCTAGGGTTAGCCAATCACCCTTCCAGGCAGTCTGCCTACTGGGGATAAGCCTCACAGTCTGCCACTGAGGAGAGCTCTCCAAGCCTGATTGCAAGAGCTCTCCAGCATGGGGAGGCCCGGAAGGCAACCTGCACCCATCCCCAGCCCCAAATCCACCTAGTAATTTATTAATTGAACTGAATTAATTAAGAGGGCTACATGATTACCTCCAGATGTCTGTAAAAACTAAGAGCACCAGAAATGCAGAAAAAAATAATGGTCTAAGCATAGGGTAATAGAGAGACAAGGAGAGGGAGAGTTGAAAACAGTGTTGACTGCATATTAACCTCAGTCCAATCCACATATTGGTGGCATGACCTTGAACAGCATCTCCTCTAAGTCTCCAGATACCCTTATTGCCTCAGAAGTGAGATTAAAAGCCCTACTTTCCTTAACTCACAGAGTTTGTATGACAACCAATTAGATAATATTAAAGTGCTTTATATAGTATAAGTACTATGCAAAGTAAGAAAGCAGGAATGTGTCTATTCTCATAGAATATCATTGGGAATTATATGACCAACTTGCATGGAGAAAACAGTTGGCGGTGTAGTTTTCTCAACAGAAGAAGGTAATAACATGAATCAATGATGAAGACTCTAAACTGGGAATTAGGACTTATGTTACTGAAAGCATAGATGATACTAGCTTTTTATGCTATTATAGGACTCTTCCTTTCCTTTCCCTATACCTTTTACACATGCATATCTATGTATATGCATATATATATATGTATATCCCTATATATACATACATACACACACAGCTCTGTGTGTGTGTGTGTGTGTGTGTGTGTGTGTGTGTATACGTGGATGGATGGATACACACATACACACTGAACTGTGAGTTCCTTAAAAAGGCAGGGACCAAATTTTACACATCTCAAAACCATCAAGGCCTAGCACATGATCAATATAGAAAAACAACCAATGGAATGTCTGTTACACTCACGGTTCTTAAATATGGCTGCAGATTGGGAATCACTGGAGAAGAATTTTTTTTCTAAATACCAAAACCAAGTCCATCTCTCAGGATTGAGAAATGACAATTTTGGTTTTGTTTTTGTTTTTAATTGAGGCCTGGTCTTCTGTTAATTAGGATAAAAGTAATAAAAGCGACTGCTTTGCTTTCAATACAACTAAAGTGAATGTAAGTGTGGAATACATGGGCTCTAATAAGGGGAAAGTTTTCATGCACTATGCATATTTGTAGTACAAATTTTCATCGTACATTTTAAAAATGGCTTAATACTATGCTTGCAACTCTTTTGTAAATTTAAAGTGATTCAAGAATAGAAGATTGTAAAAATGGGTTAATATAGGATACAGTGCTTTCTAAAGCAAAGATGCACATTTCCAGAGCAATACCAAGTTACTGATTGACTGTGACATATTGGCCTTTCCAGATATGCCATAGATATATAGGAACAGGCAACCTCTGGAAGAATATTTTTAAAACGAACACTTAAGCATCAATATGTAAATCATTGGTTCCATAGTCAGTTCAGTTATCCCCAGCATCATAAATTGCCCTGATACTGCCCTCTCCAAGAATGACACTTCCAGCTCCTAAGAGGGCCACCTTCTAACCAAATATTTGTTTGCAGATGACCTTTTCAGCATTTTCTCTTGCCATTCTTCTGCATGTGAACAATGACCTAGTGACACTATTCCCAGGATCTATAATGAACTCCCATTATTCTAAACTCTTTCTCTCAAGTTGTGCTCACCATCCACAGTGCCATTTACTTCCTTTTACTTTCTACCAAGTCTTTATGTTTTTATGTTGCCCCGGCTAAAATGTCTCTGACTCTGTGAACATTCCCCCCAAATTCCCATCAAGAAGAGGAGTTTAATTTCCTTATTGGGCTTTTGTAGTACCTTTTTCATACTTATAACAGTCCAAATAAAAGCTATTTACTTGCCCACCTATATGCCCCAATAAGCTGGAAGTTCCTGGGTAGTCTCACTATACCAACAGAATACATAGTCAAAAAGCTCTTAGAAAAATACCAAATGCAGTAATGGCTAAATGAGTGAATGTTGCTCTTCCTTAGTGACTCATACTTTTCTAGAATCGCTATAGATTCACAGATTCAATAATCTCATTTTCCTCCTTTAATGTGGTGATTTAATGAAACATGCTAATAGATTTCCAGATATTAGACCATCTTTGTCTGCATTTCTGGAATAAAGTGTACCCAGTTGTAGCTGTAGTGTCCTCTTTATTATCCGCTGATACAATCATCTCTTTCCCCCCTCACTTTAGTGATGTGACAAATCATGTTGAAAGATTTGTATATATTGAACCATCTTTGCATTCCTAGACTAAATCCTTCTTAGTTATGGTTGTAATGTTTTACTATACTGATGAGTTAACTATGCTATTTTATTTAGAATTTTTGTATATACTATCATAAAGAAGATAATTTTTTGTAGACTTTTTTCCTCTCTGTATTTCACTTATCATTTTTGGGTTTAGCTATGGAGGTTCTGCATATTTTTCTACTATCCAGGTTAGTGTAACAATGTCATAGGAATTATCTTATCTTTAAAGATATATTGGACTTCAATGTTAAGTCATCTAGACATGATACCTTCTTTTTAACAGACACTAATCATATTTCCAATATTTTATATGCTAACTGTAGCAGTTCTCTACTTCTTCTGAGGTCATTTTGGAGCATTTTTCTGTGGGAAATTCATCCACTGATCTCTGCTCCCTTTCAAACAAGCTATCTTTGTGCTAAAAATGATTTAGCATATACTATGTACCATTTAGATTCTGAAATTACTTCCTACTATTTATTAAAGGCATAAGTCATGTATTCTATCTTCCAGTTCAAGCTGTGTCCCCTTATACTAACCTTCTACAGCACCAACACACTGCTGTCACACTTTCTTCACGTTATTCTACTAGTCTGCTTGTCTGTATCCCAAACTAAACTTTTGAATCCTTGAGAGCAGAAATTCTTATTATTTTATCATCTCAGGGCCTAGTACAAGATAGGTACTTAACAAAAATGTCTGTTGATGTAATGAGTGAATGAATTTATTTGCAGGGCACTGAAGCTTCAGATAAGCCAGATCCTCATCCTTTTCTCGTGAAGCTTAAAGCCTACATGAGAAAGAAATATTTAAATATGTGAAATGTAAAAGAAAGCAACAGAGAAAGCATATTAAAAAATACCAGGATAAGCCGGGCTCGGTGGCTCAGCCTGTAATCCCGCGCCTTTTAGGAGGCTGAGGTGAGTGAATTGCCTGAGCCCGCGGGTTTGAGACCCGCCTGGGCAGCGAGACCTCATCTCTACAATAAATCAAAAAATCAGCTGGGCGTGGTAGCGTGTGCCTGTAATTCCGGCTACTTGGAAGGCTGAGGCGGAAGGATCGCTGGAGCCCAGCAGGCGAGGCTGCAGTGGCCGGGAGCGGCCACTGCACTCCAGTCTGGGTGACCGAGTGAGACTCCAACTCAAAAAAAAAAAAAAAACAAAAATTCCAGGATATGTCATAAGAACTAATACAGGCTGGGCAGAGGTAGCCCTTAACCAGACTTTGAAAGTTAAGTGACTGAAAGAAAAACTAGAGCAGCAAGAACAATAACTGGAAATAATACTGTGAGTTCAGGTACAAACCAAGTCATTTCTGTGAGACAGGGAGCAGACAAGTTGCACTGAAATGAAAAGCTCAGGAGAATAATTGGGGGAAGTTTTAAAAAATAACATGAGTTCTGTTTTTTAAAGGTCTTCTATAAAGAGGTAAGAAGTTAGAATTTTTATCCTTGAACAAAAATTGACAAGAGTGAAAATTCTAGGTACAAAA